CCATAGTAGGAGTTGTCTATGGGCTCGGCAGGGGGCAGGGGAGCAGATTTTTTTCTGTTTTCTCCACTGTATTCCACTGGTATGCCGCGGAACGCACTTTAAGAAACGCTGCCTTAAGAGATTTGTAAATGAGGTTACCTTGATTTCTTGTGGTAGCGTTAGCCAGCGTACACCTGGGAGATTGTCTAAAAGCAATGCACTGCAGTTGTCATAGTTCTGAGCACTGGGGCTGGAGTTTGAGTTGAGTCTGGCAGGTTGAATTGCTCGCTGGAAGAACAGGTTGAAAAAATGATCCAAGCGGGAAACGTTTTCCACCTGGCAAAAAGCACTGAACAAACATGAACTGGAAAGTTAGAATAACATCAGAAGACTGGTACCTTGTTCATATAACCCTCTATGCCTGTGCTGGGCAACCTGTGGCCTACAGGCTGCATGCAGCCCATCAGAGCAATCTGATTGCAGGCCACAAGACATTTTACTGACATTGTCCTCAGGCACGATGCCCTGAAGCTCCCAGTGGCTGTGGATCACCATTCCCCACTAATAGGAGCTGCAGGAAGCAGCAACCAGCTAATCCTGGCAGCTTCTTCCCCTGCAACCACCACCTCTACAACTACTGCCGGGAACAGCGAACTGCGTCCACTGAGAGCTACGGGGGACAGTGCCTGCAGACACTCAATGTCAGTAAATGTCTTGTGGCCTGCAATTAGATTACCCTGATAGGCCACATGTGGCACATGGGCTATAGGTTGTCCTCCACTGCTCTAGCAGATGCTTCAAGGCACAATGCTCCATTTGAAAGAAAAGAAAAGAAAAGAAAAGAAAAGAAAAGAAAAGAAAAGAAAAGGAGAAAACAACAAACAAAAAAACCCGCCAAGTATTAAACAACAAAAACTAGAAGTTTGTTACCCAGATTAAAAATAGATTTGCTAAGAAAACAATTGGTATTTCTTAATACCAATAATTCAGCAGTTTACATCTTACAGCAAATTGCTGATTTCAAAATGAGGCTCTAAAAGACATTCATTTCTTGGTGACCTGGAGGACTATCTACCTGATCCTTTTCTTTAGTCATTTAATTATTTTTAGTGTATCTGCCATTGTTGACTATTGTTTAACTAATGTCAACCAAAACAATTTTAAATAAAAAAGATACTACAACATGTTCTTCATATTACCTTCAGAAAATGAAAAAAAAAATCTATTATTCCAAATGTCTCCTAAAGCTGTACCAAAATAAACTGCAATGTGCTAGTCGATGGGGATGGATCTAATGAATCCAAGGGTGCTGAGAGAGTTAGCTCATGTGATTCCAGAGCCTTTTGCCATTATCTTTAAAAACTCTTGGTGATCAAGGGAGGTATCAGACAACTGAAAAAGGCAAATGTAGTACCCATCTTCAAAAAGGGAAGGGAGGAGGATCCAAGGATCAGTCAGCGTCACCTCAATCCCTGAAAAAAATCATGGAGCAGGTCATCAAGGAATCCATTTGAAAACACTTGGAGGAGACAAAGGTGCTCAGGAACAGTCAACATGGATTCAGCAAGGGCAAGTCATACCTGATCAACCTGATTAACGTTTATGATGAAATAACTGGTTCTGTGGATATGGGGAAAGTGGGGAATGTGGTATATCTTGACTTTAGCAAAGCATTTAAAATAGTGTTTCATATAGTTTTCTTGTCAGGCAAGTTAAAGATGTATGGCCTGGATGAATGGACTATAAGGTAGACAGACACTGGTTAGACTGGTGGGCTTTACAAGTAATGATTAATGGCTTGTTGTCTAGTTGGCAGCCAGTATCAAGCAGAGTACCACAGCTGTCATTCCTGGGGCTGGTTTTGTTCAACATCTTCATTAATGATCTGGATTATGGGATGGACTGCACTCTCAGCAAGTTTGTGGATGACACTCAGCGAGGGGGAGAAGTAGATATGCTGGAGGGTAGAAATAGGTTCCAGTGTGAGCTAGGAAAATTGGAGGATTGGGCCAAAAGAAATCTGATGAAGTTCAACAAGGACAAGTTCTATACTTAGGATGGAAGAATCCCATGCCCTGCTACAGGCTGGGGACTGACTGGCTAGACAGCAGTTGTGCAGAAAAGGTCCTGGGGGATTATAGTAAATGAGAAGTTGAATATGAGAAGCAAATGAGAAGCTCATCAACAGTGTGCCCTTATTGCCAAAAAGGCTAAGAGCATATTGGGCTGCATTAGTAGGAGCATTGTCAGCAGATTGAGGGAAGATTATTTCTGTCTATTTGGCATGGGTAAGGCTGCATCTAGAGTACTGCGTTCAGTTTTGGGTCCTCCATACTGCAAGGATTTGGACAAATCAGAGAGAGTTGAGTGGAGGGCAAGGAAAATGATTACAGGGTGCACAACTTATGAGGAGAGGCTGAGGGAACTGGATTGATTTAGCCTTCAGAAGAGAAGTGTAGCGTGAGAGGGGATTTGATAGCAGTCTTCAACTATCTGAAGGGAGGTTCCAAAGAGGATGGAGCCAGGCTATTCTCAGCAATGGCACATGACAGAACATGGCGCAATAGTCACAATTGCAGTGGGGAAGATATAGGTTGGATATTAGGAGAAGCTGTTTCACTAGAAGTACGATGAAGCATGGAAATGGGTTGCCTAGGCAGGTGGGGAGATTTCCATTTTTCGAGGTTTTTAAGGTGAGGTTTGACAAAGCCCTGGATAGAATGATTTAGTTGAGGTTGGTCCTGCATTGAACAGAGGGTTGGATTAGATGAGCTCCTGAGGTCTCTTCCAACTCTAACCTTCTATGATTCTATGGTTTTATGATATTCAGTGTTTGATTCTTTTCTGAGATGCATGTAAGTAGCTGCCAATATATCTTTGAAAACTGCCCATATATAAGAAGTGGTGTGTCATGATTATTGGAATAAACATGTGACCCGATGTTACGTCAAATTATTCTACCTAGAACACAACATATTTTATTTGCTCTTTAACATGGGAACAGAAATAATTATTATGATTTTGTAGTATTCAAAATATACTAGGTGATTTGTGAACACAGAGGAAGACAGTGCCTACCTTAGTTGCTAAAGTTAAAAATATATTCTGTACATTTTAGTAAAAATCCACCTAAAAAACTACAAGAATAGACCACCCGGACTTCAATGGGCCTTTTGACATGCCTAAAGTTAAGCAAATGTGTAAGTCTTTGCATGATCAGGACAAGAGCTTTTTAAAAAATAAAAAAAATATTGCTTATCAAAGATAGTTAAAGAACCTTATTCGTGTAAGGTTAGAGCAAAACCAGACAACAACATACAGACATCAGACTTCCAATGCTGTAGAATCCAGTGCCAAGCCACATACAAAAAGCAAAACACTTGGTACAGAAGCTTGCTCTGAGAGCTAAAATTAGTTATTAAAAATTAATCCTTTGGAAGCACTTACCTGTCCAAACCACCATACATAAATGTTAAGGTTCTGACAACATCTGTAATCATGTTCCTTAGCTGAGATAGAGGAACACTAGCAAAAAAACAAAACAAAAACAAACAAAAAACCACACACACTTTAAACTGTGTTTACAATATGATGAAATGCATCACAGGTAAAATGAGGGCTTTATTGCTGCTAGCCTAACTGACTCAAAATTTCTAATCCACTCACAAAATACAACAGAATGTCCACAGTTCATGGAAACTAAAAATGGAGGAGCTCTATTAGGTCATTCAATGTCTCTTCTGCAGATGCAAAATGTTCTTGACAGTACATTTTCCAGTGTCTTGCCTGGTCTAGTTTTAACATTCACAAGAAACTGAGCTTTCACCACTTCCTTTTGGAAAATACTCCAACACTTCACAGCAACTATTTAATACCAAAGCACTGTCCCTTATATTTTGACAATTCATTTTAGAAAATACACCATGTATCATGTTAGTAGTACACACTCTGATGTGTTATAATAAGAAAGTAACAAATACTACAATTGTTAAAAGAAAAGGTGTATTTGAATCAAGTTCATGTGCTTACTAATTTGCCAAGCTCAGTCCTTTATAATGGGACTCAAGTGGTGTTGCTAAACAGGGTCCTACAGTATCAGTAACACTTAGCACGCCATTGCATTTGTTAAACATTAGTTATGCCTCAAAACATTTCTGCCAGATGTAACTTTCCCGTTCCCCTGCAGGGCCTGTTCTCAGAGCAGGGTCAGACCCACCTCCAGGAACCTCTCCCAGTTGCAGGAAGCTCCACAGCTACAGGCTGGGACAGACCCTGACAAGTGTTGTTAGATAGCGTGTAAATGAATAGTGGTGCAACCACATCAAATTTTAGTGGTTACAAGACTGTTTGATAGTCTCTGGAGATGGAGCTGGCAGCAAGTGTGCTGCCCGCCCCACTTTCAGGGAGCCCCCTGCCACTTTGTGCTGATTGTCTATCAGGGGCAGCAGCACGGGGTGGCAGGCAGGAGCCAGTTGGTGAGTGAAGCCAGTTTAAAAACCAGCTCCCTGTGCAGACCAGCTCCCACCTGACACCCTGTGCTGCCTCTCATATAGAGGCAGCACACGGAGTGGCAACAACCTGTGTCTGTGGGAGCTTAGACACATCTCCTCAGCAGGCCCAGGCTTCAAGATGTGTCCCTGTGGGTGCTCCACTTAGGTGTATCAGCGCTGCTGTGCACACGGCTCGGAGATCTTTGTTAGCAGTCCCTCAGCCGCTGGTGCATGATATGCTATTGTGCAGTTGCCCAGATTGACAGTTAGACATGCACCAGCGGCCGTTCCCTCTGTTCCTTCTCTACTGTGTTAGTCCAGAGTAGAGGGGAGAAGGGTGAGATTGGAGCACCCACGAGGACACATCGGCTGTGTCTAGACTACATGCCTCTGTCGTCAGAGGCATGTAGATTAGACACATAGGCAAAGGCAAATGAAGCCGCGATTTAAATGATCGCGGCTTCATTTACATTTACAGGGCTGCCGCGCTGAGCCGACAAACAGCTGATCAGCTGTTTGTCGGCTCGCGCGCTAGTCTGGACACTCCCCTGCTGACATCAAAGCCCTTTGTCAGCAGCCCCGGTAAACCTCATCCCACGAGGAATAACAGGGCTGCCGACAAAGGGCTTTGATGTCGGCAGGGGAGCGTCCAGACTAGCGCGCTGAGCGGACAAACAGCTGATCAGCTGTTTGTCGGCTCGCGCGCTAGTCTGGACACTCCCCTGCTGACATCAAAGCCCTTTGTCAGCAGCCCCGGTAAACCTCATCCCACGAGGAATAACAGGGCTGCCGACAAAGGGCTTTGATGTCGGCAGGGGAGCGTCCAGACTAGCGCGCTGAGCGGACAAACAGCTGATCAGCTGTTTGTCGGCTCAGCGCGGCAGCCCTGTAAATGTAAATGAAGCCGCGATCATTTAAATCGCGGCTTCATTTGCCTTTGCCTATGTGTCTAATCTACATGCCTCTGCTGACAGAGGCATGTAGTCTAGACACAACCATCTTGAAGAACTCCAGCCACTGCACAAGGTGAGTAACCTTCCCTTCTTCTTCGAGGGTCCCCGTGGGTGCTTGGCGGTAGACGCTCTGACACACAGGATTGGATGGTGGACAGTACGGTACGTCCAAATCTAGTGTCTGAGTCCTGAAAGGTGTAAATAACATAATGTTGTGCAAATGTATTGGCCAAAGTCCATGTTGCAGCTCTGCAAATGATGTCTACAGGAAGACCCTTGAGGAAAGCAGTTGTGGTAGATACTGCTCTCATGGAGTATGCCCGTATAACTGTCGGTGGCTGTCTGTTTTTCTGGGAATAAGCCAACTGTATGCATGTAGAAATCCATTTGGATATTCACTGTTTGGAGACAGGCTGACCTCTAGACCTGTCTGCGCAAGACACAAATAGTCTGGGTGTTCTTCGGAAGTCTTTCGTGCATTCCAGGTAAAAGGCTAATACCCTGTGAACTTCCAGCATGTGCAGCGCTGCCTGGTTGCTGTCCTCATGTGGTTTCAGGAAGAACACAGATACGTATATCAGTTTGTTACAGTGGAATGAGGTAGGTAGCTTGGAGAGGAATTTCAGGTGGCTTCTATGGATGACCTTTTCCTTGTGGAATATGGTGTACAGTGGGTCCGCCATGAGCACCACTATCTCTTCCACTCTCCTGGCTGATGTTATCACAATGAGAAAGGCTACCTTCATCGATAGATGTAGTAGCAAGCAGGTTGAAAGTGGCTCGAAAGGCTGTCTCATGATTGAGTCCAGCACGAGGTTCAGATCCCATGATGGCACTGGATCTCTACACTGTGGATACAGGTTCCATATCCCCTTCCAAAATCTATTAAGGCATGGGTGGGGAAAAAATGTATGATGATGGAACTAATTGATAGCTCTGTGTCCTGCAGGTGAAGGATATATTCTAGTACTTCTGATATCCCCACCTTGTGTGGATCCCATGCTTGAGCTGAATTCCAGGCTGCAAATCGGGCCCACTTCTGCAGGTAAGTTATTCTCGTAGTGGGTCTCCTGGAATTAATTAGGATGCCTCTGACCCTTTGAGACAGGGTTAACTCTTTGTGTGAGAGCCAAGAAGCATCCAGGCTCACAGGTTTAGTGTATGTAGCCTGGGGTGTAGTATTCACCCATTATCTTGAGTCAAAAAAGTTTGTACCAGGGGAAACTTGTACAGCTGATGTGTGCAGACTCGGAGTACCTTAGGGTACCAAACTTGTCTCGGCCAATTGGGGGGCTACGAGTATGACTCTTGCTGCCTCCTGTTTGATCTTTATTATCGTTTGATGCTATGAAAGGTATAGGTGGAAATGCATATGCTAGCGGGAAATCCCAGTGTATTGCAAATGAATCTCTGAGAGATTGCAGTCCAATGCCCACCCTGGAACAATACTGTAGGCTCTTGGAACTGATGTGCATTGCAAACAAGTCTACAACTAGGTATCCCCATCTCCTGAAAAGGTTGTTTATGATGGATTTGTTGATATCCCATTCATGGTTCTGTGGGAATTGTCTGCTGAGGGCATCCGCTAGTACATTGTCCTTGCCCGGCAAATGCATCGCGGTAGGTGTGACGTTGTGTATAATACACCATCACCATAGTTTTGTTGCTTCTGCACATAGGTTGCGAGATCTCACTCCCCCTTGCTTCTTTATGTAACATGTTGTTGCAGCATTGTCTGATATTATTCTCACAGTTTTGTCTCATGTGTGAGCAGTTGAGAGCATGCCCTCTTCACAGCTCTGAGTTCCAACACATTGATGTGAAGTCGGGACTCCTCGCACACAGAGCCGGTCCAAGCTACAGGCTAACCAGGCTACCGCCCGGGGTGCCCCATTGTAGTGGGCGCCGTGCAGGGCTGCCGGGCCGGGCGAGGGCAGGGCCGCGGCCGCGCACACACAGTGCACCTGGGGACAGGGCCACACTCCTGGGGCCTAGGGTGCACGAATGGCTCAGGCTGGCCCTGCTCCCGCATCCATCGTCCCTGTAATATCACATTCCCCATGTGGGCTCCCCATCCCAGCAGGGACATGGCTGTTGTGATAGTGACAGATGATGTCAGCATCTGGAATGGAAGTCCTATGCAGACATTGTTTATGACTGTACACCAATTTAGGGTGCTTTTGACAGGCCTGGGTACATGAATTGTCTCATGGAGTGGATGGTGCCTGGAGCAGTACACAGAGAGTAGCCATGCCTGGAATGGCCTCATATGTAGTCAGGCTTTTGGGACTACAGACATGAATGCTGCCATGTGTCCTAGTATTTGCAGGCATGTACGTGCTGTGGTGTGTGTGCAACTCTGTATGGACATGATCAAATAGTGCATTCTCGACCATCTGTGGGTTGGCAGTGAGGCTATGCCCTGAGTGCAGTCCAACTGTGCCCCTATAAACTCCAGTCTCTGAGTAGGAGTGAGGGCGCTCTTCTCCAAATTCAGTAGGAGCCTGCTGTGTGAACAATAACGCTCTTGTTGACTCCAGTGACTGTTCCGTGTTGCCATATGTGGACACCATAAATCAAACAATCATTGAGATATGGAACTATGTTTGTTTTCTTCACAGGTGTGCGGCTACCACAGACGAGACTTTGGAAAACACTCTGGGTGCCATGGACAGCCTGAAGGGTAGCAACCTGTACTGATAGTGTGAGTCCTTGAAGGTGAACCTGAGAAATTGTCTGTGTGCTGAGTGAATTGATACATGAAAATGTGTGTTCTTGAGGGCTAAGTTAGCTAGCCATGCTCCTTTCTCTAAGGCAGGTACGATTTTTGCCAGCGTGACCTTCTTGAACCGTTGATACTTGATGAACTGGTTGAGTCCACAGATGTCTAAGATGGGCCTCCACTGTTTCCTCCCCCCCCCCCCCCCCCCCCCATCAGGAATAAAATCCCCTTCCTCTGTAGTAGTTAGGTACCTCCTCTATAGCACCTAGTTCTAGAAGGCGCTGCACTTCTTCCAGGAGAACCAACTCCTGAGGGGGTCCCTGAAGAGTGATGGGGAAGGGGGATGGGTTGGTGGAACTGCTGTGAATGGTATGCAGTATCTGGTTTGTATTATTTCTAGGACCCATTGGTCCAAGGTGATGGTTTTCCATGCCAGATAGAATGCGGTGAGTTTGTCTCCGAATATTTGTTTGCTTGATTGTACCTGTCTAGAGAATTGGGGGCTTTTGTACCCTCAACCAAATCCTCAAATTTGCTGATGCGAGGTGTATGCCTGGAGTCCTTCACTGTATGGAACGCTGAGTTTGTTGCCTCTGCAAATTGATTCTCACCCTCGAATGGGAGATCCTCGATGTTGGATTGAACCTCCCTGGGGAATCCCGACAGCTGCAGCCATGACATCTGTCTCATCACTACTACGGATGCCATCAACCCGGCTGCTGTATCTGCTGAATCTAATGCTGCCTGTAGAGCTGTTTGAAAAATTACTGAGCCTTCTCTGATATTTGATTCAAACTGCTCCCTCACATCCTCTGGTATATATTGAATAAAGGAATTGAATGATTCAAACGTGTGTGCGAGTATTTTGCTAGTAGAGCCACATAGTTCACAATTCTCAGCTGGAGGGAGGCTGATGAGTAGGCTTTCTTCCCCATAGCATCCAGCCTTTTGGTCTGTTTATCGTGACTTAGTGTTCTGGGGTACTGTTGTTGCTTTCCCCTATGGTTGGCTGCTTCGACCACTACTGAATTAGGGGAAGAGTGAGAGAAGAGGAATTCAACTTCTGTGGGGGCAACGTAGGATTTCTTATTTAGTTTTTTCAATGTTGGAGGCACCAATGCCGGAGATTTCCAGATGGACTTGGCAGGATCCATCACGGCTTCGTTCATCGGTAAAGCCAGCCTGGTTTGTTGAGGTAAGCTGAGTATGCTCATGAGTTTGTGTTTATTCTGTGTTATCTCAAGAGAGTTTTATGGTAAGCATGTCTGCTACCCTCCTAAACAAGTCTTAGATTCTTCTGAAGTCATCCCCTCTGATTGGTGACACAGGGAGACTATGTTCCTCCATCGTGGAGTAAGAAGTATTGGGCGGATAGAGGAAGCCTGTGTTGCCTCCTCCATAGATGACTCGCTGTTATGGTCGGTTTGGTCACAGTCAGTTTATTTTCGGGTGTTCATGTCAGCTGACTGTGTCCCTGGGACCTGCATAGTGTTTTGAAACTGTTGGGCTCGGTAAGGCACCAAAGGGTCCCAATAAGCCCAATGTGGAGGCATCGGTGGGGGCATCCACTGTGCCATCTGCCATTTCTGCATTTGCTTTTGTTGTGGTTTCGCATATAAAGGGACTCTGTGCTGGTCCTTTGACTGATCCTCCTCGTCATCACTAAATCTGGCAGATGCTTGTGATGCTGGTCTCAAGGAGAAAGAACCTCTAGCCCGTGGTGTGCCATCAGTACCGAACAGTGGTGAGCATGGTACTGATGCTACTGCAAGGTCCACCTCTGTTGTTAACCTTAGTACCGGAGTATGCGGATGCATTGGTCTGTAGTTTCTTACAGCTGCCTGCATTTATATCGTCAGTGCTTGAAATGCGCAGGTACTGAGCGTTTGTTCAAGCGTGGCATTCCACTGCTCTGCAGCTTGCCGGCTTGCTTACTCCTCAGTGGTACCATGTTCTCCACTGGTGCCACGTTACTATGTAGAGAGCTTGAAGCGTAGCCAGAGGCTCCATGCTTCATATTAGGGTCATGGCTTTTCTTTAAGCTGGATCCCCTGTCCTGCTTTTGAGAGCCCTGCCTAGAGTTCTTATCAGCCTCCTTTGTCTTTTTGTTAATCAGAGGCTGAAGGCTCAGCAGGGGACCGGGAGCATTTCGTGCTCTGCTCCAAGTCTTGCTCTCCAGCACGTCCCTGCGAGAGAATGCTCCTCCTGCCCTTTTCCCCAAGAGGGATATCTCAGGGGAGGAGGGGTGAATGAGGCTGTGACTCAGCCATGTTGTGGTCCAAAAATAATAATCTTCTTTGTAGGTCTCTCACCTTCTTAGAGGATGGGGTGAGCTTTTGACAGTATGGGCAGTGACTGACAGGATGGTCTTGCCCTAGGCAGCACAGACACTGCTCGTGTCCATCTGCTGCTGCGATTGTTCTTCCGCACCCTGTGCACCTTATAAAGCCCAGTAGTGCCAGCATGACAGGTATTTCTCTGTTTGTTCTTTCAGGCTAACGGGACGCAACAGAAATGCCCGCGCGCTGCTTCACCCGCTTTTCTTTCTGTTGTTATCCTTTTCCTTTTTTCCCCCCTCTCTTCTTCTTTCTCCTTTTGATGCTGTTAGGGAGACTAAGTGTGACCAATGCTGGCGGCTGTTGAGAAGGAACTGAGGGAATGGCAGCTGGTGTGTGTCTAACTGTCAATCTGAGCGATTGCGCAATAGTGCAGCATGCACCGGCGGCCGGGAAACTGCTAACGAAGATCTCTGGACCTCTGGACCATTTGCACAGCAATGTTGACACATCTAAGTGGAGCACCAACAGGGACCCTCGAAGAAGAGCTTGAAAGTTCCTGTGTCCCAGACCATGCGTCATCATCTATTACTGTTATTTGTATAGCTGTAGCACTTACAAACATCAATCAGGATGATGATGTGCTAAATTCTGTGTATTCAGATAGAGTCCCAAAAGAGATTAAAATCCAAGATAGCTACATCACACTAAATATAATCTTTTCCCCCAAACAAGTAGCAGTTTTTGTTCAAGGAAATTCAAGTATTCACAAAAGTCACTATTTTTAGTGACTTAAGCTAGTTCTGTAAAGTTTTTGACAATGATTTTCCATACATTGCAAGATTAATAATTCCTACATAGGTACCCAAGATACCAGTCATAAAACTGAAAACACAGCTCTACAAACATATTAAAGTGATATAAGAAAGTTACTATTTCCATGCCTTTGCACACAGTACCATCATCTTCTAAAATAAACATGTTACTCTTAAAACTCACCTTTCTGCAGGAAGGCCAATCACAAGCAACTTGTCAGATTCTTTATAATAAACCACCTGAACCAATTTCCCACATAAAAAAAGGGAAGAGCTAGAAAAATAAAGCCAGAAGAAAATGTCTACTTAGTTTTTTATTCTGAAATTGAATATCAATTAATATATTAAGTTCATTATTCACTTAAATATGGAGTATTTAGCTGGGTCATACAATTACATTTATTATTATGGAAATTGATGTGCACATTGTACAAGCTGTTTATAATTTAATCATATACTATACAATAGATTTTTTTAAAAACAAATTGATAGAGATAATGGGAAAACACAGCAATAGACATCTATTTTTTAACATTTCCACAAATGGTTACCAAAAAACCTGCTAGAAGTCTTTCATTTATGTCTTAATTTAGCAGAATACTGGAACACACTACAAAAAAGGCAATGAAAAAAATGTCTCAAGAGTGAAAACAAATTAGAAATATTACCCAGTTTTCAATTCAGATGTATTTATACAATTTTTGCAAAACACACACCCGGGTTAATCCAGTGGGACAGTCAACATTTTCTAACATGTGAGCGCTCCAAAGTGTGCTGTCTGCTCTCAAGCTAGAAAAATGCTTTCAAAGCTTCAAGGAGAACAGCTACTTAACAGCCCTTTAATAGCTCTCCTCTGGTCCTTGCCTACACATTGTCTCTTTCAGAGACAATGTAATAAGTAATAAAAGGGATGCTAGCTTTGCATTGCCAGAATGGGCCAGGAATACACCACTAGATTTGGCAACAAGAGTAGAAATATCGAAGAAAATGTGTGTCTGCACAGTAACATGCCGAACATGTGGCTAATAGAAATGAGCTCATAGATAACACCATTTTATAGTCAACATATCCTGCAAACTGCCATATAACCTGTTACTTTGTATAACCTGTGTGTACAAAGGATTAGCTCTTCAGTGACTGAAATGCAGCCATTTATATTTAATGGTACAAAGCAATATTACTGTATATAAAACCGTTTCGGATAAGAAATGCAGAATATTTTTTCCAGTTAGAACTACAGGGAGAATTTTTCCACGCCATATATAATGACCAAGACATTAGAGATTAAAGCCCCTAGTGTTACAAAGCGAACCATGGGTCAAACTGCCACAAATGGCAAGGACTTGCTTTATGTTCCAACCAAAAGACTCCTTTAGTAACTCCTTGCCCCATGTGGGACCCAAGTACTAAGAAAGAGACATGAATGCCATCATCTCTTTCTGACTCATTAAGATGTTTTTTAGAGGTCTTCCACTTAGCTTACAAAATTAACAGGATTTCAGCAGAAGGTAGTATGGCTATATTCTTTTGAGCAAAATTTTCAATCATGAAAACCTTAGTTATAGTCTCATCTGAGATATTCCACAAGTGACTTTGGCTCCTCAATCTTTTTTGGAAATAGGACTTCGGTCCAGGTACTTTTAATTTTTTTAATCTGAAATAATGAGAAAGGTAAACCTGAATTGTTACAGTAACAGTACATTAATCATAGAAATATATGAAGAATGTACATATTTTATGGAGAGTGCAGTGGGACAAAAAAGAAAGTTGGAATCTAATAATCTAGTTACCAGACTGTCACAGATTAAATATAAAACCAACAGATTGAGTCTGTTGGCGACTGCTGCTAAACTTCAAAATATTATAGAAGATTGCAAATACTTCTTTGCCAAAATCAAAAACACTGAGGAAGGTGGCCTTTGTGACTACAGTAATGTATTGGGACTCTAAAGGCCTGGGTATAATTTCTGGCTTTGCCACAGATTTGCTGTGCAACTTTGAGCAAATTACTTCATCTCCCTCTGCCTCAGTTCCTGGTCTATAAAATCTGAGAAAGAATACATTCTAAATCACACAATTGTTGGGACAATTGATGTTTATGAGATACTGAAATACTATCCTGATAAGGGACATGAAACCACAGACACACTTACAGGGTATAAGATCCTACAGTCATAATAGTACTAAACATTTTTCAGGCCACAGGATTTTCAGGACGGGTTACTTTCTCCCACATTGTTGTTGTAGCATTAGTCATTTAAAATAGTAACTTAAGATATCACTGTATCAAAGTGAAAAAAGTCAGAGTTTAGTTTAAAACTAAAAAAGCAAATACTTTAGAAAACTTAATCTAAATGTGCTCATATTGCCTTAAAAAGGGACAGAGATTTTCATTATTTATCACTTATATTGTGCTAATGCTAGACACTGCACAAACACAGAACAAAAATGCTCTTCCTTCCCCAAAGAACTTACACTGCAGGACCTAATTTTCACACTGCTTTAAAGAGCAAAAACAACTCTCTCCTCCTCATCCCTTAACTCCAGACAAATTCACTTGAAAGAAATGCTGCTAAGTAAATTAAGATTTTAAGTGGAGGAATTAGTCTCTGCCTGGCACATCCTGTTGAAGTTCAGCCCGAATAAACTATATTTCATTTCAATCAATAATTGACAGAGCACTAGAGTGCATTCACACAGTGTAGGGAGACAGAAAGAAGAAGCAGGAAAGGTGACAAAATTAACATGAAAATATTAAAACAATACTACACTCCTCAGAAGTTTAATGTATTGATGCTTTAAAAAAACCCAACCCTAATCTAAAATGCATACAGCAAATGGAAGGATACAGTGCCCAATATCTTAAGTATTTACAAATACAAGAGCAACAAAGTGATGGCTATAGTCAATGTGTATATAAACACAAACACAAAGCACCAGTTGTGGCTCAAAATATATAAAGTTTATTTATAAATAAACCTTATTTATTTTGAGAGAAGGCTCTGAAGAGGATTTACATCCCTTTGCTGCAGCAGATGGAAGGAACTGAGGATGCAGAGAGTACCACACACACTTGATAGCTTTGCTTTCATGATGTTTGGCACCGCTATACAAAGGTTCCAACATCTGAACTACACCAGATGGTGCTTTCTAGTAGTGGGACTATGCAGAGGACACTTAAAGTACTAATTAATTACACAAACTGGAAAAGTTCATAGCCTTTCCACCACACTTAGCCTTATATACAGTAGAGTCCCGCTTATCTGACACTCTGCTTTATCCAACATAGCTGGATAAATCCTGGGGTTCAGCGAGACATCCCTAGCCAGCCTCAGATTCTAAGGCTGTGGAATTTGAGAAGCAAATATGTTCCACAGTTTAAAGCTTTCAGTTTTTAAAAGTATCATGTCCTAGACTTTATGTCTGAGAAGAAAATCTTGAACTTGAAATGTGTGCTAAGTTACAAACTGTTGGAATGTCATCACTCTGTGTCTGAAGACTTAAAATAATGGGTGAGATTTTGTGCTGCACCTCTAAGGGTGCGTCTATACTGCAGAGCTTTACTTGAAATAAGTTATGCAAATTGAGTTATGTCAATTGTGTATCTTATTTAGAAATAGCTTATTTTAAAATAAGGAGTATCTACAAAGCACTTATTTCGAAATAGAGTATTCTTCCTCCAACTTCCCTTATTCCTCGTACAATGAGGGTTACAGGAGACAGAGTAAGAAGTCCTCCAGCTTGACAGTATTTTGACACTATTTCGAAATAATTGCCTGCAGTGTAGACGCCAAGTTATTTTGGAATAGCGCTAGTTATTTTGTAATAGTGTTGCAGTGTAGACCTACCCTAAAATGCAGTTATATGCTGAGAATAAAACAATCTTTGACATATCAAAAAGAAAAACTTGTCAAATCAAATTAATTTAATATAAAAATGAATAAACATGGAGTTGCTGAACCAACTAGCATTCATTTTCATATGTAACAGTTAAAATCTTAGGTTTTTTAAAATTTAAGTTAAGCTGCTACAGAATATCCAGTTTACTTTACTAAAATAATTCAGAATCCAGGAATCCTGCTAAAAATTTTAGATCAATTTTCACTGGGAGTACGTAAGGTCAGATCCACAAACCAGTCACTTGTGATAGGTTATATTTTATATGAAATTTCTAACCACTGAGATCTAAAGCAAAGAAAGAGCCCAATATCACATAACCATTCTCTGTACAGCTACATTAGCCAGACCAACTGCAAGCAGGATATACCAAATATAACATTACGGATAAGGTAAACTCATTCTTGTTTTGACTAGGCATAACTGTAAAGCCTGATGTACAGATGCTTTCTTCTGTTTTTTTAAAAAAAGAAAGGTTAAAAATAAATAAAAAGGTTTTGTATTAAGTTGAAAATACTGTTACCTGATAATGTGGGCTCCAGTCACATTTTCCAGCATATCACAGAGAGTGAGAAATATTCCTCTCACACTTTTCAGCTTTTGGGATGCTTCCGATATGGGGTATTGGTAAAGAATTTCTTGCTGTTAGGATACCAAATTTTTACTTAGTTAAGCAAAGGAAAAGACTGCTAATTTATCATGCATCTTCCCAGTATGTCAGTGGTGGGCAACCTGTGTCCCATCAAAGTAATCTGACTGCAGGCCACAAAATATTTTACAGATGTTGACCATCCACAGGCACCA